TTCGTTTGATGAATAATACTAAAGCGCCTTATAATATAAATGCTTTGACCTCCCACGTTGCATTTAATGCACTATCATCGCAAAATATTGCAAAGATGCGCGAAACAGCTCGTCAAATTCGCACCGAGCGTACAAAGCTCATATCTTCTATCACTAGCATAACTGGCATTGGTAAGATATTGGGTGCAAACGATGCCAATTTTATTCTTGTACAAGTTTTAGATGAGGCTTGCGAAAAGCCAAGTAACGGAAGAGCTAATTGGATTTATAAAGAATTGGCGGAACGTCTAGGAATAGTGGTTAGGTATCGAGGCAATGAATTTGGTTGTGAAGGGTGTTTGAGAATTACGGTGGGAACACCTCAAGAAAATGAAGTATTATTAGAAAATTTGAGACAATTATTGGAGGGAACTTCTGTTAAATCTACATAGCATTACCATCTTTATCACGGGTAATTTTAATGAGAAACATTGTATTTAGAATAATGCGATTACCTATTACATTATTGGTTGTATATTTATTATTATTCACAAAGTCTCGCTAGGAACTTGATTAATTAGACTACATTCAATAAAGAAAGTAATATTAACCAAATTTTTTAGTAATCAAATATCAATATTTGTCAGTTTAGCCCATCGTTACTGTCAAGCCTTTGATTTCGCTTCACAAACCCTTTTTAATTTTTCCTGTGTCTTCTCGATCTTACGTGTAGTATCATCGATAAGATCCATTCTGTTGAGATTAATAAATTTGAATGAATAATCGACATATTTTTTAGTCATCCATTTGACTTCATAAAAAATACCTACTCTTTATTAAGAGCGTCCTCTACTTTATTAAGTTGACTTCCACTCAAAATAACTAATCTTTTTGATTGTCTAAGGGAGCGTCTTGGTGATAAAAGTCGGTAATCTTGACTCAAAGCTATGTGACGTGTCTGAAGCTATAGGTAAAATTTATGTAAAAAATAAATTAAAAATTCAATTTAGAGAAAAACGCGTCAAACAGATTTACATAAAATACAAAACAAACCTGTTTAATTTTAACGCGTAATCCGTTCCCGCCTTCGATGGCATCACGTATCTTCTCTAAATCTTCATAATATTGCAATTCAAATTCACCTGGAATAGGATCATTCTGATACATTAATCTCTGAAGGACAGTATCCGCTCTACGTTCAAGAATGATTTGCTTGTCTTTCAGATTTTGCAAACGATCCGACAACTCTGGGCATTTTTGGTTGGAAAATTCATTTAAATAGCGTCGGATACCCATAAGATCAGTGATTTGACGTCGAAACTCAACACTTTGATGATCTACCCTAGAACATTAAACCGTCAGAGTATTAAATAATCAAGAATAATATCGCTTTTCTATAAATATCTAACCTCGAACGAAGAGCCTTAATAGCTTCTTTCATTTCAAATATTTCTTGTTGCATAACATCCATCATTGATTGAAGAAATTCTGTGTCAATCTCATAGCCAGCACCGCCCGCTTTTTGTTGGGCACGTGGTAAAACAAGTTTTGGCTGACGTGTAAGGCCTTGATAATTCAAATATTTCATCAATAATTCGGGGAAACGATGAGTTGATTCGGAATTGTATTTTATGTTTCTTATAACATCATTTTCAAATCGAGATCGATAAATATCTTCTATTTTCTCTACTTTTCTAATTGACAACTCGTGATAAATCAATTGTAATGATGATGATATCATTAACACAGCATAAGAGAGTTGGACATCACTCATTACTGATAATCCAATAAGAGGATCTGGATCACTAAATTTATAATATATCATTATAAATAATTTATTCACACGATAATAATAAAAAAAAGCTTAGCATATATATATAATTAACCAACCTTGGTAACGTTCCTGTAATCCAGCTAACTTCAGACTTTCTATTTTTTTCCAAAAAGGTTTCCATTGCCATTTCATTTTCATTGTCCTTTATTGTTTCGCTCAAATCATCTAGCCAACCTCTGAGGACTATGCCATGAACACCTGCAAAATGATATACATAAAATGTATCTGCATAAAATGGATCCTGTACCAAATTTGGATAGTTCATAGAATTTGTTATGCGTTGGCTTCGCCATGAAGTAGGAACGACAAAATTCTTTACGAAACCAAGATCTATACATTCATATAGTATTAAGGTCGGATTATCAATATTTGATACGCCCTATAATTTATTTATGAATTATCAATCAATAATATATAAAAAAACAGTAAGGCCTTTTATGTTTATAATAGTATACTTCAATTTTCCACAAAGCTTCCACGCGATCAACTTCGAGGCAAACGTCTATTCGACCATTGTTAAACGCTATCACAATAACATTAACCGGTTGCGTTCCCAAGCAAATTATATCGCTAGCGTCAGTCCTATG